ATCTCATTTAGTCCGAACCAAGGGATCCCGTTTTGTGTTTGATGTCTTCATCTTCTTCATCATCGTAGTCCCCTTCTTCCTCCTCATCGTCATCTTCATTCTCTGGGCAGAGTCCTGGAACAAAACTCTGCATAGCCGACCCAGCCCAGGTCACCCCGGCCTTCTCCGACTTCAGAGATGCTAGGTCATTGTGACCAGTCTGACTGTCACTGCGACCTAGGCTGTGAGTGGGTACCTGCAATAAGTAAATGAAATGTATAGCCAGGATTCTTTGGCTGAAACAATTATTATGTCAATGCATGTACATCTTAATGATTCCTATGCAATGATTATATAATTTGTGAAAGACTTTACATGTGCACTGTGACACCATCTTGAGTTTGCAGACTTACAAGGAGGTTTTGTGGGATCTGAATCACTTGCAATACGGAAGTTCACACACCCTATGTGTCACTAAGGAAGTTAAATAAAGTTGGTCACATCAGCGTTGTCTGAAAGCAATCATTGCCCCAACCACTCAGTATATTCTATGAAAAGCACAAGCATAGATCTTGCTTCGCTTGGTCAATAGAAAATAACGTTCTAAGAACATAATTACCTTTTCTACGTAAGAAATAATGGATGAAAATATTGATTTGTCCCAACTGTCCGTGTAGTATTGGTAGTTCACAGTGATGCTGCACTGCAAGGTTACAGTGCTGTGATGTCATGTATGGTTACAGTGCTGTGATGTCATGTATGGTTACAGTGCTGTGATGTCATATGGTTACAGTGCTGTGATGTCACGTATGGTTACAGTGCTGTGGTGTCATGTATGGTTACAGTGCTGTGATGTCACACAGTGCTGTGATGTATGGTTACAGTGCTGTGGTGCCATGATGTCACACACGGTTACAGTGCTGTGATGTCATTCAACACAGTCATACAGTGCTGTGATGTCATACAAGGTTACAGCTAGTACAAGGCTACAGTGCTGTGATGTCACATATGGTTACAGTGCTTTGATATACAAGGCTACAGTGCTGTGATGTCAGGACAGGGTTACAGTGCTGTGAGGTCATACAGGGGTTACAGTGCTGTGATGTCATACAGGGTTACAGTGTAACGAGTCCCTGTCATACAGGGTTACAGTGCTGTGATGTCACACACGGTTACAGTGCTGTGATATCATTCAAGGCTACAGTGCTATGATAGGACAAAGGGTTACAGTGCTGTGATGTCATACAGGGTTACAGTGCTGTGATGTCACACAGGGTTACAGTGCTGTGATGTCACACAGGGTTACAGTGCTGTGATGTCATACAAGGCTACAGTGCTGTGATGCCATACAAGGTTTCAGTGCTGCAACTTCATAAATAATAGTTAAATGGCTGTGATGTCATGCATTAATGTTACAGTGCCGTCACATCACACATTTTTAGAGCATGGCTGTGATGTCACAAGGCATTTACAGTGCTGTGACACCATTTTCACAATTCATGGGATAGTTATTTGATTAATATCACTATTCCTTACCACAGCACAAGTGTAACGCGAGTCAAAAATCATCTGAAAAAAAGTGCATGTGAAATGTGGAAGGGCTGTATTACCATATAGACAGGAGATTGTGAATTTGTTATAATTGTTTTTGGTTAACATATAGTCTACTTTTTTTAAATAATTAAATATTACAGTATCAATAACATTTTCAACATTGACAGGGTCGGGGATCTTTTGTTGCAAAAATGTCCATGCTGACAAGCCATATTTGAATTATCCTGATTGGGTTTAATCAAATGGAACACAAAACATTGCATGAATGACATCCCTGAGACCATTGCTTCCTCGACTTGTCTGAAAGGCTCAGCACACAGGAGTGCACAATGACAGGCCGCATTTGTGGATACCAATTGTATTTTAACTTACTTAGTTCAGTAAACTTAGATGCAACATTATGTGTTAAACTTCAGTTTCATGGTGTAAATGCTTGAACCTCATTTTCTGTAACCACTGCTAAGATACTGTTGCCCACCATATACATTCTCCATTTGTTTGTGAAACTTTCAGCCATATATTAAATGAGTTTTAAAACTTTTCATATTTGTTGACTAAGTAATGTGGTTTGTTTAATGTTTCAATAACTTTTCCGAGTAATCCATTACAATTTTGTAAATCAATTTCATGAAAACATCACTTCAGTTTATGAAATGTAAGATATTTCTTAACAATATAGTCAGTTAAGTTCCTTATTGATTTTACCTTCAGGTTCTGGTGATAATGATATTTATAAGTCTTTCAGATGGCCAGGCAAGTCCTGAGTCAAACCCAAGGGTGGATACAGCTTTTGGAGAAAGTGGGGGTGCACACTCTTGAGAAGGTGTGTGCGTGCGTGCGTGTGTGTGCAAATTTCATTTCACAAAAGTTTCAATGGCCATTTAAAAAACTTTCATGACAAAAGAGGGGTCGCGCACTAGGGCTGCGCAATATAACCGGTTTACCGGTATTTACCGGTTCAGACATGAAAACGATACGTATTGCGATACGCTGGTTGGAAACCGGTATTTTGACTTGCATTCGGAAAAGTTCGTAACACTTGGAAATCTTCGGATATTTCCTTGTTTCATTTGTGCCAAATATTCTTCACATTTTATTTTATCATGATTAAAAGTTGTTATTAAAGCTTAATCAAGCATAGTGATTTTGTTGTGTTTTTGCTCTATAAATCAAGCATTAACTTGCTTATAAGTAGTATTTTGTTTAAAAATACTTCAGGCAATATTTTGCAATACATATCGCAATACATGCTTTCGCATCGCAATATATTGCAGTATGAAAATTCTGTGCAATACCCACCCCTAGTGCGCACCCCTGCAAACCCCACCTCTAGATCTGCCTGTGGTCAAACCCATCATTTGATATCTGACACACCTAGGGGACATAACTCTTCACAGCACCTTGGAAGAATGTTTCATCAGTGACCCAAGGTGGACTTTGTTCCATTGTCAAACCCAGACTCCTTTATCCAAGCATGTTATTTATTTATTTATATCAGTGTTGATACCTAGCCCGACATCCCTCATGGATTCCTTGTTTTTAACGAGCATGAGTAAAGAATTAAAGCTGCTCAGAATTTCATTAATATCAAAATGAGTCAGCTGTAAAGTGTGAGCCAAGCCAATGACAAAAGGGTTCTGCATGCCTTCTATGGAACTCTGCACAGTGCATTATAGGCACTACAGTGAGACTCCGTATAGCCGGACCCCAGATATCCAGAAACCTCGCCTTAAGGTCACTTTTCATAAAAAACAATCTTTTACGTTATAAAAGTGACTCTATAATGGATATGCAGTTTCCATTTCCGGACTGTAAATTTTACAAACCAACCGGCTAAATCAACACAAAATTGACTCACTTATCCGCACGAAGCTTTGATCTTCCACGTCTTGACACGAGACAAGGTATGCTAATCCGGATTAACGACCGATCAGCAGGGTATTGGTGGTGATTAGTAGGCCTATCTGACACTGAGTGAATTGTAATTGGCAAATAAAAACAACCACACTGTTTTGGAAGTGATTTTAAACCAGAAGTGTATGCTCGCTACTGTTTCAACACCAAACCCTGGATGACAGAAATCCGGATATTCAGTTATCCCGGACGATTTATGCAAAAACGAATGTGTCCGGGTATCTGGGGTCTCACTGTATATTCCTCATTCCCTTCACGTTGATATTTTGGTCCTACGTGAGTATGGAGCTGTTGAACTTGAGATATGTTCCATGGTCCCGGTAATAAGGTCTTATTGTTATTTGGTGTCATCAGCAATGCGATTTCCTTGATCTCGAATAATGAAATGGGTGGGAAAAGGAGAGCATTGGCAGAGCAAAGCGCTGAATATGTAGTGTGTCCTAGACTACACTGGAAAGACAAATTATTTGGACTTGACCTTTCACAAACTAACCTTCACCAAAATGTACACTTGTGACCATCATATGGCAACATACTTAACCAAGTATTCACCTTGAGTCCTGTATTTGAGGGTCCCTGGGACGCATGCTTATAATTTTTCAGGGGTCCTGGACAGCAAAATGGAGGTCCCAGACACTTAAATTTTATTATCAATACTGTATATTATGTGTATTATGATCATCACATTGTTACAGTAATGAAATTGCAAATGATACCATAACCAAGCTAGTAGCAAACTCAGTGATAACTTATTGTTACTTGATTGGAATTTTTACAATAGTATTTTGACTTTTTCCGAGTCCCTGTGGATGCGCTAATAAATTTTGTTTCATCCATTGTCAATTTAGGTATAGGACGCAGAAATTCGCGTCCTGTCAATCCCTGCTTAACAGACTCTGTATTGGCTTCGTCCATGTCTGCCCAAGATACCAATAAGGAAAACATTCTACACGGGTTAAATAACATTGCTGACCAGTATGTCAAAGGTCAGAAAATCTTCATGTTTTCATGGGCTCAGGGGCATTGGATGTTTGTTTCTTTAACCCAATAATTTGACTTTTACCAAAGAGGTACCAGATTGTCACTGCTGGACTGACTAATCACTAAGCCAGTGACATATATGAACTTGACTATAATACTGGGCCCTGTTTCACAAAGTTCTCGTAAGACTAAGATCTCGTAACTTTTCTCGTAGCATTCGTACTTCGTATGTTACAGTATTGGAGTGCTACGAATGCTATGAGAAAAGTTACGAGATCTTAGGCTTACAAGAGCTTTGTGAAACAGGGCCTGATGTGCACATTCTAGAAAAACTTGCTATGCTCATTTACTGTTTTGGAAGGTATTTTTTCAGATTTCAGATCTAAGAATGGCATTACAAGGAGGAGGATATGATGATATCATGATGGTAAATATCCTATTGGATATCCATGTAAAGTTAACCAAAGGGACACAACTCAACACCACAAACTGTGTCACATAGGATGCCTGGGCCACTATGTGATCAGTGACATGCCACACGCATTTTATGACATAAATAACACAATTCTAGATAAACGTTTACACATTTAATGCATGTTTGTCTTTTTTTTTGAAGTACAGTACACAAATTTCACACAATATAGGACTGAAATGACCTCATGACCTTTGTATGACCTACAAAGGTCACGTCAGTCTGGCTGCAGAACAATAAATCTACAATTTGGCTATCTTTGTTATTGACTATGCAATTACTGAGATATTTGCATGCAAGCTAGTTTTAATTTTACTTGTTGGTTTGACATTTTCTCAATGATGAGGTAGCACCGCATATTAATTAATACGATAACTTGGCAATCAAATCTAGATGAGTGACTGGCAGCCAATGTCTCAACAATGAAGGTCAAGGTCATGAAGACTTGGGTATTATCTGTCAAATGTGTATTCATAACACAAAGATAATGAGAATGGGAAATCAAGACAACTTTGTGATAACATGAATTATTTCAAATGTTTTACATAATGTCATGATTCTGACAATGAAATAAAACATAATGAATTTGTCTATTTTTAAAGTATTTTAGCAATATATTGTTATGATTCTATCAGCTTTGAACATTTGTTCTCAACTACAATGTCACAGCAAATGATGCTGAATTGAGTATGTCGAGAATCTGACTTCCCACTAACCGCCTGCCGTCACTCATCTAGATAAGATGCACATGCTATCCCAGCTTACGTTTTGGAATGGTCATCATTAAAGCTATGTACCACACAGTATTCACTAACAAGTCCCTGTGATTATGCAAAGAACAAACTTGTCTTCCACATACAACTCTCTCCAAAATATTTTTTATGACCAAAGGGAGGTAATTCTGACATCCATAATATTCATATAATCTTTCGGCTACTACCAAACAATACTACCACATTTCATACATCCGGACTCGTAACAGAGTAAATGTATACATAATTTATGAAATAATTCAGTAACAACAAAATTCTTCAAAAACAAGCAAAGTGAATAGTGTTTTTCAAAGGAACAGGCATAATGTTTGGTTCAGCCAAAACCTGGATATCATCTGACAATGGCACATACAGCCAAAAACAAACGGAGACAGTTGTATTTGGAAGTGGTAAGATTTGGACAATAATTACAGACGGACGAAAACCAAATGACACAGTCAATGAAACAGGAAAACAAAGCGTCTAGCAGCTCCTCGAGTTCCTGCAGCACTTGATAGTCTTTCAATATAAGTTATATATCAGATGACATGGCACCTCGTACATAGTGTCAGCAAACATTGTCAAGTCATCCTTCAGAAACTCACATGCCTCAACAAGTATCCCCAATAATCACTATACCAAAGCGAGATTGATAATGGATCAATGATCTGATTCATCTTTCCAAAATGAGCTGTTCCCGTCTAGTCTTCATGAATCAAGGTATAGACACCATTCTTGATAACTTCTTGTTTCTTAAATTGTGGAATTTTACTTCAGAATTATTGCTAATATATCTTCAGAAATATTGCTAATCTGAACACACCGATGTGTTTCCCGATTTAAAATTTGAAAACAAAAAATTAATCCATCATGTGTGGAAAGTATTTTCAAATTTTGATTGGCATCCTCAGTGCTACAACATGACAGTTCACCTACATCTTCAACCATAATGCTTGAAAGTGTATAATAATTAAGGAGGAGCAGCTTTTAACAGTGGTCATTGAAAGTAAAGATTTCTGATGGACAGTCCATGTTTGCCACCTCTGACATTTGTTGTGTGAGATTTCTGAAGGACAAGCCAACAACACCTGCCACAACTACATCCAATCTTTCATTCTTAAGAAATAAAAGTTTTCTCATAACAGAAGGTAAATGACAATACAATAATACACAATTCACTCTATTCAAGTATGGGTCAGCCTTATTTTGATTTCGTCTTCTTCAAAATACTACTGGCTGAATCCTACAGTAATTTACCCTTTTTTCTCCGGTCTACATACAATACAAGCTTACAGGTAGCCTTGAAGGCCTGCTATCCACATGCAAGCATAATCACCATCATGTATGCTTGATGTTGCCACAAGCTTACATACAACTGCAAGCCTGTTGTCCAAGACTAAGTACATACATAACAGATCCTGTGCTTGCATCTTACATACAAGCATACACTGTTAAAAGACAAGCATCCACAATGAAGTGTTTTGATGGTTAAATACAAGCATACATGTTCACAAACAAGCATACACATCAGTGTGCCTGATATAACATGCAAGCACATATTTAAATAGTGTGCTTGCAGTTAACATGCACACATATATTTAAATAGTGTGCTTGCAGTTAACATGCACATATATTTAAATAGTGTGCTTGCAGTTAACATGCACACATATATTTAAATAGTGTATTTAAATAGTGTGCTTGCAGTTAACATGCACACCTATATTTAAATAGTGTGCTTGCAGTTAACATGCACACCTATATTTAAATAGTGTGCTTGCAGTTAACATGCACACATATATTTAAATAGTGTGCTTGCTGTCACCAAGCATGCATACACTTCATACATGTGGCCATATTAGCATAGACCTGTATACTTTCTGTGAACAATCATGAGCATAGAGTATGCTTGCTGCTAACAATCAAGCACACAATCTGTTGTCAACAATGGCCTTTGACTTACAGTGCGATAAATCACTGTATGATTTCTGCCTGCATACTCGTAGACACACAAACATGCTTTGTCCTGAAGCATACTGTGCCTATGCTTGCTTGTACCAATCATCCGGAAACTAGTCTATGCTTGCTGGGATGTTTCACAGACATAAGACTTATTTCTTTACAGAGGACAAGATCACACTTCATTCCAAACAAGAACTATTGATATCTGTCCGTAAGAATTCTTCTTGGTACTTAACAGGAAATACCATCAGTTCCCATGATGCACGACTGTAGATCCGAACACAAGTTCCAACTGTCCCGGCACTTTGGCCATAGCTCTTATTATGAGCTTCTTTGGTTGATATTCTTTGTTTTAGAGTTCGGCATTTTTTTCGGCATATTGCTATGACTTTGAAAAATTCTTTCACATCCATGAGAGGTTATTGCATGAATCTTCAAGTGTACATTTTTAGAGATTTGACAATTCTACAAACAAAACAAATAGACATTGACTACAACCAAACATAAAATCATCCAATAAAAATTTGCATGTTAAAAAACTGTCATGATATAAATGTATGTTGCCTTTAAGTCTCTTAAAAACTGCACCCAGTCAACAGTTCTGTCCTTCAAATAATACTAATTAATGAGCACTTAAAACGTAAAGAAATATATCTTCAAGAGTCTTGTCTACGTAACGTATTTGCTACGCTCTTCTCAACTCCATCAGTATTGCTGATCCTCTTCATCGTATGCGTCCGATTCGTCCCCGCTCAGATGAAATTTCTGAAAACAACCGTAAATGCCAACTCAAAATTTGACTCCGATTGCACTACACGTCCCTTGGATCAAACCGTCTGAAAAGAGTTTTGTCTCGGATTTTGTATCATTTTCCTAACGAATGTTTGTGCACCTGTAAGCTGACGAGGAGAGAATAAGAAGCAGCACATGCAGCTTGCAAGAAACATTTGGCAGATAATTTGATTAAATTTCAGACAATCTTTTATTTCATTTTTTGTCACGGTTTTCAAAAATTTCAATCCCTAAACTAATAAATACTGCATTTTATTGTAAGTGTTTCTGTCTGAAATTCAACAAAAGGAAAAGAAACACTCCTTCTTTACTACTGCATAAAGAAGAAGCCGTATAATATTTCATTTTATAAGCTAAACAACAAAATTGATGAGAAAACAAGTAAAACTCTATACTTTTATGAAAAAATAGTCCCTCTTTTTAAACAGCTTGATCCATTGGCAAACATAATCCTTTCTTACAACAAATCATTAATAATTTAGAATTGATTTACAATCTACAAATCAAAAAGCAAAATTAGAAATTAGGTAATTCTTTAAATGTAAACAAACTTTAACCTAGCAGAATTAAGCATGCATAGAAAGCCCACAACATATATATACATATATATATACATATAAAGACAGAGTTGATGCAGACATGCAAATTGCTGCTGAAGATGCAAGGGTCATGTGACAGGATATTGAAGGTCATGTGACAGGAAGTACCTGTTGTTGCATGTGATCGTACATGCCAGTGCCTCCTGGGATACCATCTGTGTTGTAACCCCCAGTCTGAGAAATAACATGCCGTAGTGCATTCACCTATGGACGAAAGGAAAGTTGTTTACGAACATGCAGCCATTCCGACAGGCAAGCAGAGCAACAATATAAAAGCAGTCTGGTCAAAATCATGCCATGCTACAAAACCGACTCTCAAAGAGATATTTGCCAAAAGAAATTCTACATTTGGAAAATACAAACCAATTTAGCCTTTACTAGTAATCAAAAACTAACATTTGAATAGAAATTTTATTCAGGTTTGTTTTAGACAGGTTCATCTTGATTGAAACAGTTTTAAAAGTTTCAAATTTTAAATTTCAAATTTCAAGATCTTTGGTTTCATGATCGTTTGAAAAAGGATTACGAGCATACTTTCCTTAAGAATGTGGCAATAATAATTCACTTTTGTCTCTGACCAGACTGATAAATAAGCAAGGGTGACAAGACAACACACAAAGCGACACACATTCCATAGACAATATACCCACATCAAACACTATACATCAATAACAGGAACACAAGACAGATCTACATTAGGCAGAATATCGGTAACTGTAGGGTACAGAAACATATTTTCGTGTCGACAGGACAAAAGGAGGTATTTTGAATTGAGACCCTTCAGAGACCTTCACTCATTTACCTACCAGAACATGATATACCTTCTGGGATTTTGCATGACCTGTAGAATATTGCATGACCCGTAGAATATTGCATGGTCCGTAGAATATTGCATGACCCGTAAAATATTGCATGACCCGTAGAATATTGCATGACCCGTAGAAGAATATTGCATGACCCGTAGAATATTGCATGACCTGTAGAATATTGCATGACACGTAGAATATTGCATGACCTGTAGAATATTGCATGACACGTAGAATATTGCATGACACGTAGAATATTGCATATCCATCGGAACATTGTATTCCTTTTGAACAGCACTCGTTAGAATATTGCTCACCCATCAGAATACTGCATACTCTATGTTTATTTGCTTAACCTTTATAACATTAAACACTCACTAAACACTGCATGGTCTTTAGATTACTGCATACCTTTAAAGCCTTTAGATTATTGCATACCTTTGAAGACCAGCTAAAACATTGCATACCCCTAGGAAGATTTAACATCTGCTGGTAAACAATGCCACTGTGCAGATAGGATATCGAGATTGAAACCAATATACACTCAATGCCGGTATCCATATTCCAGAACCCAGAATACACAGATGCCAGAGCTAGAAAATCATGTTTTAATGACATTTAGCTAGGAATAGATACAAATGCCAGTTCATAGAGAGTGACTGTAAATACCCATGTCATACCCCAGGGCTCCAGATAAGGGCCATATCGACGTATGTACGGCTAAAAAATACGCACAATACGGTAGGAAATAATTGAGAAAACATAGCAGATACGCACCACAGCAATGGTGTACGGTCTCAGAATCATTTACGGAGGTATTTATCAGAAAACGTATTATTTTATTGTTTATTGTCCCATTTATACAAGAGTAGCAATGTTGTGGGTGCATATATGAAACGGAAACACAAGATTACTGATACTGCATTAAATTCCATTCAGTACTGGAAATGTACTCTTAAGGTTTTCCAGTACTCCTATATTGAAAAAATAAGGAGTACGTTCTCCTGATGTTGAAAAATTATCTGGAGTCCTGTACCCCCTTGAAAATTGCATACCATGGTCTTTGCCAATAGTGTGGATCAGGATCTATGTGTCCCTACAATCTGTCATCACATGCTCGGATGTAGTATCACATGCCATATAACACACATGCAAATAATTGTATACCCCATATAGTAGCCAGACTTCATGCACAACTCGCACCTTACATTCTCATGGAATCAGGATTTGTTTCTGCCCCAATAAGAGTGGGAACAAGTCAAGCGAAACTTGCTACCAAAAGCAAAGCACTATAAAATTGTATTCAAGGTCAACCGATGTTTCCTACATCCATTGAACTCGAGACTGTAAGATTTGTTGAGGTAAAATGTAGTTTGAATTGTGAAAGACTAAACAGCAACAAACAACAAAAAACAAACAACAGAACATGCCACAATACACAAAAAATGTTCAGCGTTTCTACCATTGGTAATTTCATTGACGTTCTCCTTCAGTAGACAGTGCTAAAATTTGGTATTTGATTTATTTGGTTGAAGTTAAAAAAAATAATTAAGAGGAAGTAAATCAAATATTTTTGTGGAACCATTTAGAAATGGTAATGTTTTGCCAAATGGGGCACTGTCCATTGAGAGAAATAGTCGGATGGAATATTACCAACCTGTGACTGAACATTAGCTCCTACCGAGTTGTCTCCCCCTTGATAACTCTCTCCGTTGATGTTCATATACATCCCCTGTTGTTGACCCACAATTCCAGACTGGGAGGTCGCAAAGCCAGCTGCACCTGGAATGCAAAGAATACTTCACTTAACAGAAGGATTACTAAGATCTTACTCCATGACCAAGTGACTATTGCTCTTCCTGAATTCAGTAATAGGTCAGCAACATTTCAGCAACACAATAGCTGGGGGTCTGAGAAGAGTGAGTGAGTTTTTTCCAGCTATATGGCGGCGGACTGTAAATAATCGAGTCTGGACCAGACAATCCAGTGATCAACAGCATGAGCATCGATCTATGCAATTGGGAACCGATGACATGTGTCAGCCAAGCCAGCAAACCTGACCACCCAATCCCGTTAGTTGCCTCTTACGACAAGCATGGGTTACTGAAGATCAATTCTAACACGGATCTTAACGGGTCTGAGTCTGAGAAGAACTTCAGTCACTGACATCATAAGCATCAAATTCTTGTGGTAGTGGGGACCTATTCTACCCAGAATCCAACCGCCCCTCCAGCCAGAATCCAAAGAAGAGTGTCCTAAGTTTTCTGCAAGGCCGGTGATTTCAGTTTTGTAAAGAATGTTTTACATCAAAATCTAGTCAATGACCACATATGTTCCCTAACAAAACTTAGCAGACTGATAGGGACAGAGTAATTTCACATTTTGAAGAGACTTAGAATTTGTAAGAAGACTAGATATTTTTTCAGCAATAGCTGCAAAGCTAGATATTTTTTAAATTATAACTACAAGCTTAAAGATTATTTTCTGGAAAAACACAACACACTGCAACAATTATGAGTGAGACAATTCCTTTTTCCGCGAGAAATGTGTCCAGTGTCTAACCTTGAGCTGTAGCACTATCTCCGCCGGGGGTGTTTGATGCAGCTGCTGATGCTGCCTTGGCTGCGTACAGGTTGGCCTCTTCCTGCGCCTTGCCGATATTCTTCTTGTAACGGATCCGCTTGTTACCGAACCAGTTAGACACCTGCGGAGACAACCAAACATGTCACCTATGGTTCACAATCAGATTTACATTTGTGAAAATAATGAACAAAACTGACAGTGAATAGGATTGTCTGATTTCAATTATCCATACAACACAAGTAGGTTAGGACTACTTAATTGACCAGTAATCCAAAGAATTCCCATTATATTCAACAGACTAACAACCTCAGATATCAATAGGACTGCTGTAATTGACCAGTAATCCAAAGAATTGACTTCAGTTATATTCAACAGACTAACAACCTCAGATATCCATACAACACAAGAAATGTATGATTGACCTCAGTTATCCATACAACATAAGGCTGCTCTGATTGACTTCAGTTATCCATACAACATAGGGCTGCTCTGATTGACTTCAGTTATCCATACAACATAGGGCTGCTCTGATTGACTTCAGTTATCCATACAACATAGGGCTGATCTGATTGACTTCAGTTATCTATACAACATAGGGCTGCTCTGATTGACTTCAGTTATCCATACAACATAGGGCTGCTCTGATTGACTTCAGTTATCCATACAACATAGGGCTGCTCTGATTGACTTCAGTTATCCATACAACATAGGGCTGCTCTGATTGACCTCAGTTATCTATACAACATAGGGCTGCTCTGATTGACTTCAGTTATCCATACAACATAGGGCTGCTCTGATTGACCTCAGTTATCCATACAACATAGGGCTGCTCTGATTGACCTCAGTTATCCATACTACATAGGGCTGCTCTGATTGACCTCAGTTATCCATACAACCAAAGAATGCTCTGATTGACTTCAGTTATCCATACAACACAGGAATGCTCTGATTGACTTCAGTTATCCATACAACCAAAAATGCTCAGATTGACTTCAGTTATCCATACAACCAAAGAATGCTCAGATTGACTTCAGTTATCCATACAACCAAAGAATGCTCTGATTGACCTCAGTAATCCATAATTCTTTGTGTTCTTTTGGGAAATCTGACAACACTGCTTCCTGTCATGATTAGTGACAAGGCATCAGATTACAAGTTCAACAAGTCAGTAATTGGACAAAAGGGCACAAGCAGCTAACTATCAATGACAGGTCACTTTGGTGAACAATATCAGGAGGGTTATCATTATCAAATAGATATAGCATGTTCACATCAAAAATAGAAATACTGCACCAAATAAATAAAATTTGTTGCACGATTTTAAATGCACTAAATAAATAAAATTTGTTGCAAAATTTTAAAGACTAAATATTGACTATCACTCTTTATTTTCTTTTGACAGACTGTAACACATTTAACTCATTTCTGAGTTTGTGATAGAGAGTGAGTGAGTGAGTGAGTGAGTGAGAGAGGTCACCCTTATCAGTCCGCCTTAAGCACAAACCAAACTGATATCACCAATATCTACTACACTGACTAGATCAATAATTTGAATCACACAATTTGTATGCCTTATCTACGAATCAAATCAAATTGAAAAACCACTGAATGTTTAATCCATTCCTCTCCTGTAAAGATGTCTTCTATATTTACATAATTAAATCCACAGTCATGCTGCAGCAAAATTTGGTTGTCAAGGGATCTGGATACTCTCGGAGACAATTTTTTAATGTCAAGAATACTGAGGACGATATTGATTTTTTTCTCAGCGCAGGCTTAATTTCTCTCCTGCCGTCTTGTAACTGACCTATCAGTCAAAATGTTGATCCCAAAGCAAGAAGATCAAGATTTGTTCTTATTGTATCTTAGGTTGCCATAGTAACTAGTCAATGGATTTTTTTCACTCCAGCCTCTAAGGATTGTGTAATTTAAGTACAGAGGAGTTTATGGAAAGAAGGTCAAAGTACAGGGGAGTCACTCAATGAAAGACATTGTTTCTTCACATCCGACTCTCAACACATCGGTTTACTTTCATCAGTTTAACACTTTTGTCACATTGATTTATTGATTACAAAAAGAAATTTAGAAAATCAGTTTGCAACAAAGAAACTATAAACACAGAATTTCCATTAAAAACAACATAAAAAGACTACATGATCGAAATAGTCGCACAAAATGTATATTGAAGAGATTTCAACATACTGCACATTCCATAAATGTCTCTTACTATGTCACCTATCAATCAATATTACTTTTGCTTGGTACATGAGCTGTACACAATTTCTCTCTGAGGGACCTGATCATCAGCTGGTATGTCATCATCATGTGCTTTAAAATCTCAGTTAAAACACCAGTAATTACCTGCATAAAAGCAGAAACTTAACAATTATCAAACACTACTTCCATTTACGTCTTGCATGTTTTTGTATATTTTTATAGTCTAAATCTACACCAAACTTCATGAACCATATTATTAGTAAATAAGGTCTAAAATATGAACAGTTTGTCTACCTTACACAAGGAAATCAAGACAATTCGGTGGCTGGCCTTTTGTTTATAACTTTTGATGCAGTTTTTTGAAGAAAAACACATATCTAAATCATGTATATTTTAATCTAAAATGTCTCACCTTTAACATATTGCTGTTTTAATCACTTTCATAAACATATATTTTATCAATAACATCAGTTTTGACTTTTTAACAAATGTCCTTCTATCTTCAACATGTACAGTGAAGAATGTCAGTGTTATCTGGTCAGATATTCTGTGAACAATACATTTATGTAGATATAAGATTCCCTGACGCTATAATGAGTGAATAAATGAAGACAAATGCATCTGCAGGGAAATATTAATGTGATCATCACCTGCTATTCAAAAGGCTGTTGTGTGTTCAAGTAAGTGGTGTGAGTTTTGTCTACTGGAGCATTGAGAATCCTACAGTTCACTTAATGTTTAGCCCATATATGATTCAATGTAGGTAAATTGTGTTAAAAAAACGTTAAATGTCAGCAAAGCAGGCTGTTGCACTCATGAATCATATGATACATTTACCAGTAAGTTCATATTCCACAAATAATATCTTGGTAATTATATCAGTCACAAATTAATAAATATATGTGCACATAATTTCTAAAATAAACTAAATAACTCAACAATGACTAAGCTTCATAAATATTATCCAGTTTGATACCATGTATATATTTTCTCCAGTGAGATACCAAATTGCTAGATATCACAAACTACCATATCATGTTCGATCAAATACAAAGGCATAGTTCAAAACGAAACTAAAAGGATAATTAGTTCTTGATGTTAAGTGCCTTAAATGCCCAAGAAACTGCCATACAACAACATGAAAGTATAGTAAGGCAAAGATCTTAGCGCATATCTAGGCACAACTCAGATCAACAATTGAGAGTCTCCTCAGCCATGAGAGTCTGGCTACGCTAATACAACTTCTTTTTTTCCCTCTCAGCTTCTCTTTCTGGTCCCTCCGGCTATTGGGGAAGACAGGCTTGATTGATGAGGGAGAACGTTCCTGCCAGAAGGCCAGCCAGCACAAGGGACTATCCCTTGACGGATTACCCCCAGTCCCCCTGCACAACACTGGGCTGGTCGTCACTATCAACACTTGTAGTGCCTGTGGCAGTCTTACGTACACCCAACCCTTTCACTTTCTTGCTTTGGAATATTAAGTACCTTAATATATAAAGAGCTGATTATACTAGCCTGTGTCAGTCAGTGTATGCCATTGTATGGGCAATCTGGTCTCGTAATGAATGTCAGTTAAGCTATACTTATTATTGCTGAGGCATCTTTCTGAATCATAAAGCACTTTTGTGTATCATTTGAAAGCTTTTTGTATCATATGACACCATTCTTAGCATAGGACACCATTCCGAATAGTATGATACATGTCTGGACCATAGGATACCTTTTTGTATCATAAGCATCTCTTAAGCATATGGTAACCTCCAGTACTGAAGGGCATTACAGGGAAACAACAGTACTGAAGGGCAACCTACAGCATTAATGGGAACAGTATTGAAAGGCAACCTACTGTATTAAAGGGAAATATCATTGAAGGGCAACCTACAGCATTAATGGGGAACAGTATTGAAAGGCAACCTACTGTATTAATGGGAAATATCATTGAAGGGCAACCTACAGCATTAATGGGGAACAACAGTATTGAAGGGCAACCTACAGCATTAATGGGGAACAGTATTGAAAGGCAACCTACTGTATTAATGGGAAATATCATTGAAGGGCAACCTACAGCATTAATGGGGAACAACAGTATTGAAGGGCAACCTACTGTATTAATGGGAAATATCATTGAAGGGCAACCAAAGTTTTAATAGGCAACTAGAATATCACAGGGTAATGTATTGTACCTTCTACAACAGCAGAGAATGTAATGGATCAAAGGCAGTACACCTACAAAACAACACTATCACAATGAACAATGTGAACTGCAGAGATGGCAACAGGAAAATCTATTTTCAGCTGAAAACTTAACATTGTGTCATCGAATGGGGGTTCAGACAATTAACAGAATTGATAAATTTGAAACATTATCAGTGGAAATCCACGGATCAGCGGAAAACTGAGAGATGCCATTCTGGTTTGCCAGTCCTGACATCCAAAGCCAGGCCGACTTAAGTAACACATGCCCTACATACATCCAAATGCCATTCTCAGTCTGCACACGTCAACATGGACACATTTTGATTGACTGTATCTCACAAAACAATGGAGATATTCCAGTAAACATTGAGCTGTCCTGCTTCAGGTTTTATCCAAAGCCTACGTCCATGCTGAACATGAAATGGCTGCTACCTTGAACCCAAATAATTCTGATTTCCCATGTTGCCTTGTCAATAAACGATATTTTGATGTTACAGATGAACCTTGAAGACATCCTGTTTGACTCTGTGTCTCACACTGTAAGGAAGGGGGAGATGCTGTCTTCACTGAAGTAACTCCACACCATACATCATCTTATACCTAAATGTATCTTTATATCACACTATCTCCCGTTCGCCCTATGGCAAGCCCAACATAGATATACAGGAAGGAAGAAGGGAATTTGTCATTCTTTTGTTGTTGTTTATA